TCATATGAGTTTTATAAAGGATTTTATATGAAAGACTCTAAGGGAATTTTTCTTGGGAATGAGGCTTAAACCTTTGAGGCTGAAACCCAAACCCTCCCTCCCTCCCTCCCTCCCTTGGAATCTTTTATTGCAGCAGCATTGCTGGTGTGCTGTCTGGCTGCCTTTCAGCAGCCTGAATTAAAAGCCTATAAGGGAACATGGCTAGCCAATAGCGAAAGGGGTTATTGTATAATTCATTCTTCCGGGATTTTAATTCGGTTTTAATTGATTTAAAAAGGCATTTTAATTAAAGTATAATTGATTCTAACGGGATTTAAATTCGATTTCAGTTGATTCTAAAAGGAATCCTAATGAAATTCCAATTGATTCCAACGGGATTTTAATTCGATTTAAAAGGAGTTTTAAACAATTTCAATTGATTCTAAGGGGATCTTAATTCGATTTTCATTGATTTTAAAAGGAATTTAGAGGCGGCCCTACCAAATCCTTTCAATAAATATTCCCCACTAATAATAAATAATTTCTGACCCCCCGGAATATTTATTATTAGGGGGGGGGGGACGTCGTTTATTATTAGGGGGAAGCGATTACCCAGGCAATGAACGGACATGGGTTCCTTGTCAGGGAATATACTAGGGACGATACTAAACTACACGAGGGACCCCTGTCCACCCTTACTATTGATAATAGCTCATCTCATACCTAGAAACTCTATGAATCCCCAATCCCCAAGTTCCATTTCATGTCCAATTAATTCCCTTTTCCATTTAATTCTCCATGTTTCGGGGTAATATCGATAAACCCTAAACCCTATAATCCATAAACCCTAAACCCATGTAGGGGGGTGCTATCCCCCAAGCCCTAATCCCTACTGTTGGGAGCCCTCCATACGAGCAAGAGTAGTCTAAACTCCGAGTATCCCCCTTAATAGCCGCCACTCCCTTATATAGTCCCCTGTGTAACACCCTTTAAGGAGTTTGGACCCCTAAACCCTGAACCCCAAACCCTACATAACCCCGTTAAGGAGTTTAGACTATGGCTCATATACCCCTATATAGCCCCATTATATACCTATTTTAATAGAGTAGTTTCAATTGTTCCCACTATCCCCATATACCCCTATGGAACCCCAATATACTATAGTAGTTTCCATTTTCGTTTCCATAAACCCGTATAGCTCAGGTGATCTGACCTCCCCAACCGAAGCCTCAATCTGAAAGCCTACAGCAGGGCTTGGATTCGTGTAGATTTAGGGATTAGGGTGTAGGGTTTAGGGATTAAGGTGTAGGGTTTAGGGATTAGGGTTTAGGGATTAGGGTTTTTAGGGTTTAGGGGTTGGGGTTTAGGGATCAGGGTTTAGAGATTAGGGTTTAGGTCTAAGGGTTAGAGATTTCCAGTCCAGTGCGATCAGTGTAGTGTAGTGTGCATTGCGACGAAGATTCCAAATGTGTGGACATGGTAGTAGTGCAAGCGGAATCTTGTTACCAATCTGGCAGATGCATTATAGGCTATGCTTCGGGGAGCTTGAAACAAAATAGCCGTGTTGAACTCCCAATGTGCTAGATGCTGCATGGTGGATGGTACCACGCTGCATCCTTTCCGCTTGGTGGATGGGTTCCTTCTCATGTATATGGGCTATAATCTAAACTCCCGGAATCCCCTTTGTTCCCTATAGTAATCCCCTATATAAGCCGCTATATATACGTTTCAAGGAATTTTGAATTGGCACCATATGTAGGACCAGTCATAAGTCACAATGCGGCAGGTAGCACTCGACATTCTATCGTATCATTGCCTGTAAACCTCCAAGCTTGAAATCCCTTAGCCTAAACTCTGAACCCTAAACCCTCGAACCATCGAATCCTCGAATTCAAAACTCAAATCTCTCCACCCTCAACCTTAAACACTCAGCACCCTAATCCTTAGACCCTAAACTCTCAAAACATAAAAATCCTAGAGCCCTAAACCTTGAACCCTAAACCCTAACCCCAAGGGTCCAAGTACCTAATAATCACATACTTACCCCCCAAAAAAGCACAATATTTACTAGTACCAAGGTCCCAAGTACCAAACCATTGAGGACTTGCTTGGAACCCAAACCCCAAACTTGCTTCCTGCAATCCAGGCACCCTTGAACTGGACCTTCACGGCCCGCGTCAACCAGGGTCGGCGAAACAGCTTCGAACCCAGACAGAGCCGACGAACTTCGCAAAGGAATTGGCCTCCGAAAGGGTTTGGGGTTTGGGTTTAGGATTTAGAGATTGGAGTTGGGAATTGAGGTTCAGGGAGTAGGGTCTTTTAGCACGAGAGTTAGGGACTGAGCACAAGGATCGATGCTTCAGTTAGATCCTTCACCCTTACAGTAGCGGTTACCACCACGGGCCATGGGAAATAAGAGTCATGATCGCCCCTTAATCAAAGCCCTTCAAGGACAGTTGCGGTGATGGGGCATGGCCCAAACCCCAACCCCCTTCTAAACCCCAAAACCTTAAACCCCAAACTCTACAGCCTAAAAACTCCACACCCAAAACTCTAAACCCTATTAAACCAACCCCTACATCCTGAGCCCTTCAGGACACTTATTGGGAGGGGGGATTGACCCAAGGCTTCAGGCTTAGGTCTTTTGGCTTGGCGTCAAGAAGGTTACAAACTGCGTGGTGCAGGCTGGTCCTTCAGAATTTAGGGTTTCGGGGTTTAGGGTTTAGGGTTGGGTTTGGGATTTAGGGTTAAAAATTTGGGGCTTAGGGCGTCCTGTCGCGCGACGGCTGGAGGTAACATGTAGAAATGGCGCTCCAGCGCACCCAGGGGTGAGGGGGAGGGGGGGTGAGGGGGGGGCGGCATTTCTCGCGAAGTCACATCGCTGATCAGAACCCAACAACCAGAATCGGGGTGTTGTTCTATACTTGGAAGCCCATGGGACTTAGCAACTACTTATAACTGGGCTTATAACCCTAATTATAGTCCCCCTAAATGGGCTTATAGGGGTTATCCCAAGTATATGTAGGGTTATCATCCCAGTTATACGTGGTTACTAAGTCCCATGGGCCTCCAAGTAGAGTAGGGATCCAAAAGCCCGAGGTCAAGTTGGGAACCTTGCCAGTGTACCTCAATCCCCCTCCCCTTTCTATAGGGTTTAGGGTCTTACATAATAGGGATTATAATTCCCTAAGGGTCCTAGGACCCAAACAATAGGGTCTGAGGTCCCCAATACCATTAATGGTATAGTATTTGGGCCCTAAAGCCCTATTATTTGGGTCCTTGGACCCTTAGGGAATTGGGATCCTAACCCAATAATGGAGAATCACATGGAAAAGAACATGGAACATGAAATGGAAACCAGGGAGTATATTGGGATTATTTGGGGTTACATAGGGATTCTAGTAGGGATCCGAATATTAAGGCCCTTAAAAGGAAGGGATTTATGAATCAAGGGTCTACATTACCTCAGCGTTCTGGTAGGCGAAGGGCCCTCTAAGCCTCGCTTCCCTTCGGAGGCCCTCGGAAGGTCTTGGAAACTCTAAATGGTAGTTTCCCTAAATAGGGGAATTCCAATACCCCAATATAGACCCCAAAATACTATAGTCCCTTTTTCTGGGGACCCCACAAAGGGTACCCATAATTTTGGGAAACCCTAAAACCTTTAACCCTAAAGCCTAAACCCCAAACCCAGGGCCATGCAGGATTTTGAGCCTCCACCGCATGGGACTTAGTAACTACGTATAACTAGGCTTATAACCCT